TTACGAAGAGTCCTCCAATATTGTTCATCTTTTTTCAACATTGCATTTTTTTATTCTCGGTCCTTTGCATTTCCATATGAATTCTAGAATCAGCTCGACGATTTCTGTTTTAAAAAAATAGGCATCTGGAATTTTGACAGAGGTTACATTGAATCTGTAGATCCATTTGAGGAGTATGTCTATCTTAGTAATATTAAGTCTTCCAATCCATGAATAGGAGATGATTTTTTCATTTATTTAGTTCATCTTTAATTTTTTCTATGGCATTCCATAGTTTTCAGTGTACATATTTTGTGCTTCTTTTGTTAAATGTATTCCTGTTTATTCTTTTTATAATTATAATGTATTTGTATTGGAACCTTTTATAAATGGAATTTTTTCCTCAATTTCATTTCAGATTGCACATTACAAGTGTATAGGGATACAGCTGATTTTCGTACATTGATCTTATCTCCTGTAGCCTTGGCTGTACTTGTTTCTTAGCTCTTATAGTTTTTTTTTGTGGATTCCCCACCACCCTTTCTAACTCAATCTTTGCAGCTGGTAATTCTAGAGAACTTATAATGTACTGTGACTTAAAGGAAAACTTTTTCTTCATTTTCTAGGAATTGTGGCTGTGGGGTACATCAATGAAGCTATTGATGGAGGGAATCCTTCAAAGACTGTAGAAAGTCTGCTGTTACCTACTGCTAAGATTAAAGACATAGACCCAGACCATGCCCAGCACTACCAGGACGTTTTGTACCATGCTAAATCACAGAAGCTCCTGGTAAGTCTTAGTAGATTTGTTTCTTTCAAGTTTATAGACTGGGTGAGGGAAAAGGTGGAAGGGAGGATTTTTTACTCATTTTTTCCTAAAGCTTATGAGCTTCTTGTCCCAGCAATTGACTGTGGATCAGAATGGAAGCAATCGGACTTTCATTTTCCTGGCATCAAACATTAAGGGAAAGCCAGCTCCAGAGCTGATTACTGCTTCTACTTTTTTATTGAAAAAAAGTTGTGGGTGAGTTCTTGTTCAGAGTCTAAGTTGCTGGATTTTAACTGAACATATACTGTATGTATAGTGCAGTATATAGCATCTGGTAGGGGGAAAGGGGATGCCAGGAACACATGATACCATTTGAATGTTCTCTGTTCTAATCCTCAATGCTTAGACATTTACTGAGGGAATAGGCATTCTCATAAAGAATAACAGTAGAGATAAGTATGTGGCAAAGTGTCAAAATGAGGAATACACAGAGTGATTCAAAGGTGGTTGGTATTGTTGTGGATTAGAATCCTGAGAGAAGTTGGCATGGAGATAGAAGAGGAGCTGTGCGAGTTGGTTAGGTGGGTAGAAAGCAGGATGGTGCACACAGGTACCAACCAGCATGGTTTGTTCTGGGTGTAGGAGGAAACTGATTTGGCCACAGGCTCTATAAAGAGCGGCAGGTTTTATCTGGCTGTGGAGCTCGTACTGATATTATGAGGAGTCCCACAGATGCTGGCCACTATTGGAAGGATACTGGGTTGAGAGGTGAGGCTTGTTTGACCTGTCAGTTGAGACTAGGAGTGATGCTACCTGGGACCTAGGCACTCATGGCTGCCATGTCCCCTAAATGCTAGCCAAACCCAAAAGGGGTGAGCATCTCCTCTGAATCGGTCTTTAGAACGCAGGAACTGCCTCATCGGAAACAGGAAACACATCTTTGGTTACAACAAACATTTATTGATTACCTGCTATTTGCCAGGCATGATATTAAGTACTTTATGCATATTCTCACATACTCCCCATAACAGCCTTATGAACTATCATCATCAACTTACAGATAATGAGACTAAGACTAAATCGTCCAGAGTTATAAAAAAAAGTAATTAGTTGTGGTAGCATGCCCTGTTCTGTGTGATTCAGAAACAAATATTATTGTACATTAAGGCATATGGAAAAGGGTGTTTATTGCAGCATTGTTTGCAATAGCAAAAGACCGAAAACAACCAGGGCTGGTTAAATGAATTACAGTGTATCCATACAGTGGAATACATAAAAAAGAACGGATGGACGTATATTGGAAATTTTTTAATACATATAATGTTAAGTGAAAAAAGCAGGCTTCCACATGCATAAAAATGGGATACACACCAATACATATCTGCTTATTTATGCACGAAATATTTCTGGAAGGAGACACCTTCTGGAAGGTGAACTAGACAGAAGGCTAGTAAAGATGTGAGACTTCTTTTTCACTTTTTTGTACCATTTGGATTTTTAATTTTTTTATAGAGCACTTGCATATATTACTCAGTGTTTCCACACTTTCGAAAAACAATGTAAACAACTCACAAAGAGCCAGTTGCCCCAGTGACTGAGTCTGGTTTCTAGAGCAGGACCTACTGCTCCGATCCAGGTGTTTCCTTCAAAGTAACTAACTTCAACTCAAGTCATTAGAAACGTTTTGGTATCAGAGAGTCCTCAACAGCATATGGAAGCGGTTGGCTCTGGGGAAGAGCATTGAGTGACTAGGGAAGAAGAAATTATATTTTTTAATCTTTTTAATTTTGTGCTATGTATTACCTATGCAAAAAAATTAATAAATAAAAATTCACTAAAAGTAAAAAATAAAATAAAATAACATTATCTTATTGCATCCATACTACTAAACTACCTTATTAAAGGTGAAGAAAATTGTTTCCCAACATGGGAGCCTTCTGTGCAGTCAGGCTTCTGATAGAGATGGCAGCAGCGTGTCTGCCCTAAACGCTTTACAGATGCCCTCACAGAAATCTTCCGCAGTTGAGCCTCACAGAAACTGTGGGAGCAGGTGCTCTCTTATCTGATGTGAATGAACCTGAGGCTTGGGTTGAATGACAGGCCCGTGAGTGGGGTAATGAGACTCATATCCAAGCCTTGTGTTCCCACATCCCAGGGGGAGGAGAGTGAGCCCTGTCATTGAAGAGGATTGGGCCACCTCCTGCTGTCCCCAGCTACTGATGTAGCTGTGGCCCTGGCACATGGCACACTTACCAGCATTGGAAGATAAAAGTTATTTGTTGTGGAGACATAAAGCACCATTCAAATATTGGCTTTGCCATGAATTAGCTAGGGATTTTAGTCAAGTCACCAAAATTCTCTATGCTTCAGTTTTGACATGTGTAGAATTAGAATAAAAGTATTTCTCTTATAGAGTTATAGTGAGCATTAAATGATAATATATAACATAATAATATATTTATATTTATATAGAATACATATTAACATATAATTATACATAATTACATTGGTTGATGAATATTTATGCATGTTAGAGGATTTAGCATAAAGCAGAGTATTTAGCATAAAGCCCAACACCCCCAAAAAAGTGCTTAAATAAATGTAGCCAGTGTTATTATGGGCACCTCTGGCTACCACACAGGTCAGGGGTGAGGAATATCCGTATCATGAGGTCCTTACTAGACGTAGGCCCTGCTTCATTTACAAACCAAAGTTGGAATCTTCTGTGTACAGGATAGAAATAGACCTGAGTTCCTCACTGCTCACAGCCACATGAAGCTTTCCCCTTGAAGTGAGCCTGACTCCATGAACTTTTCATAAGCAGACAGCGGAGGGCTTCTCCAGAGCATTCCAGTCTAAGGGCTCTAGATCAAGATGGAACTCCACAGCATCCCTCCAGAGCACCCAGAAGCTTTCCTTGAGTTCCCATGCAGTACCAGCTCTCTGGTGGGCATCCTTCCTAAGTGTGAATGCAGTAGCTTTTATACTGTAATTACAGCATTAAATAGAAGCCTAAGGATCTGGGTTCTAGTTCAGATTTTATACTACTTTTGGCCAATAAGGTTAGGGGCTTATATTGGCAACAGCTGACAGATATAAAACACAGTTCCAAGCAGTGACTCTGATTTGGTTAAATTCCTATTTTTAAACAGTTTTCTTTCTCTGCCCATTAATTTTGAAACTTTCTTCCTCAGCCTGTTCTTTCCCTGGAAAAAAATCTGATTCTGTTTATTTGGTGGGGTCTCTGTGTTTTTTAGCCTCCGCTCTTTTGCTACCTGGAAGTTTCCAGTTGTGTCTTATTGTGGTATTGTGCCTTGCCTTCCCAAGGTCCAGGCTTGGAAAATAACAGAAGAAAATTACATTACTGATATTGTCAGTATAAAATAAAGCTTATACCAAAGTACAGAGCATTAAAGTTCTCAATAATAACATCTTCATAGAATGGATCATCAGTTTTATCAAAGATTGAGGACTGTTATGTAAGTTGCTGAAGATTCTTGGCCCTTGTTAATAGTATTTCAAGTATAACCTTGTGTAGGCACCAAATTCCTTTTGTTTCTTTAGGAAAGTCTGGGTAATTGGCATGTTGGCATATACTTAGCAGAAAACAGACATTCTGTCTGTTCACTATTCGGTGAATTTCGAGCAATTTTAAAATCGAAAGCTTTGCTTTAGAACGTATGAATTATACCCCCCAAATAGTTCTGGTTTGCTATATGTATATTTACTGCATAAAAATTAAGTGTGCTTTTAACAAATGAATATCATTTCATGTTTTCCCTAGATAAAACTGTATTACAGTCAGTAGCTTTATTTGCAGAAACTAATTCCTTCCATTGAAATTTTTGTCATCATGAAATTTATTTTAGATTTGTTTTCTTTCTTGTTTAGTGATCACCTGATTTTTAATCTTCACATTAACACACATGTAGAGGGTCTTCAAGTACATGTTGGGTTTTTGTTTTTGTTTTTAAACTTAAGTCCAATGAAATAGGAAATTCTGCATTTAAAACTCTTTTATTGCCTATGGCCATGCTACCCTGAACAAGCCCGATCCTGTCTGATCTTGGAAGCTAAGCAGGGTTGGGCCTGGTTAGTACTTGGATGGGAGACTACCTAGGAAGACCAGGTGCTGTAGGTATAAAAAAATTAAAAATAAGAGATTGTAAACTGACAAGGTCCTTGCAGTCTATGAGGTCAACCACGGGTTGCCTCACCCAGAAATAAACAAATAAATAAACAAATAAATAAATAAATAAAACTTTTTATTGTTTTGATGTTTACTACAGAGTATGTAGTCTATGCACATTCCTACAGATTGAAAATTCATTTCAGCAATCCTTCATCCTCTTAACCCATAATATCCCACCTCCTGACTAATCCTTAAGCTAGGGGAAATATACTCATTTACCTATAGGGAGATAATGAGTATTTATAACAAAATATCATTTCCCCATTAAAAACTATGTTTGAGGAACAAAAATAACAGAGACATTATTTTAAACTTCTAAATGATTTTATGAGAATACTCTTAGCTTAGCGTCCTTGTTTTTTCTTTTTCACATGCCCAACCAAAAGTGTTGTCCCATGTCATACAGCATACCTTTCTCAGTATGAATTCAGTGGATTTCCATTGCTGTTAAGGTGCTTTAGAATTTTATTCTTCCATTCATTCAGCCACATGATATGTAAAGCAAATAGCTTTCCTTGTTCTCTAAGATGATTTCACTATTGTAAGATAAGTAGTGGAGTGATTTATAATTTTCGACATGAGAAAATAAAGGAATGGATCTAGGCAACTATTCAGACTACCAAGGCACAAAGCTATGAGATAGATAAAGTATAAGCCATCGGTGTTGTAGTAGTAGTTGGTGTGGTGAATAATAAGTATAATATTGCTGGGAGCAAAGCAAATGGTAAAAATCACAAGAATGAGAAGACTCGCCTTAACATACCATAGCCATCTATGATCGTATGCATTAAGTGTCCGAATGATAGCCGTGTAGCAGTAGATAATGACTGCAAATGGAATTAAGAATCCAAAGAATGCCAAGGAAATGAAGTAGTAGAGCTGGAAAGGAGATGAAGACTCACATGTATTATGGACATCGTGGCAGGTGGTAATGTCCTGCTGGACAAGATAATACTCCTGCTTCAGGATGAAAAAGGGCAACATGTATAAGAAAACTGTGGCCCACACCAGTCCACAAGTTATCAAGGCATAGGTGCGCCTGGGCAGGCCCCGGTAAGTGAAAGGATGGACAATGGCTAGGTAGCGGCTGATGCTGATGCAGGCAAGAAGCAGAATGGAGCAGTACATGTTGCCGTAAAAGATGACTGTGGTGGCCCGGCACATGAGCTCTCCAAATACCCAGTTGTTCCCATTGAGATGGTAAGCTATTTTAAAGGGCAATGTGGCACAAAAAAGAAAGTCTGCAGTGGCCAGGTTGATATAGAAGATAGTAGTACAGATGGATTTGGTCCTGAAGAAGAGCATCCACAGGGTCACCGCATTGGCTGGCACACCTACTACAAACACCAGGATGTAGATGATGGGTATCAGTTTGGTACTTAGGGAGCTCCTCAGATACCCAATGGTAGCATTATTCACATAGAGATTTGAAACACTTTCTTCAGGGCACTTGATTTTTACAGTTGTGGTTCTTGTCCAATCTTCTATGGCAGAAAGGGGGAACTCTTCAAAAGAATCTGGGGGAGCTCCACGAAAGGTCTTAATAGGTAACGTTGGCTCTGCCAAGTTGTCTGCATCATTTTCCATGCCTGTAATTGAAAAGAAGCAGTAACATATGATCGTTTGTTGACATACCTATGGTTCAGAAGAAAATAAAACTGAATGTATTATACTACATAATTTCTGTAGTTGTAAAATTTAGGGTCATTTTTATTTTTAAAAAATCATTATAGGTCAGGCAATCAACAGGCATGGTGTATGCCCCGCACCATGCTAGCCCATGCAGGAGCAAAAACTAGATGACAACCCCTTACAAGTAAGTAATTTATAATACTATTGGAAGAAACAAAAATAGGACATCACACCATTATAGGCCAATGTCTTATTGACTATAAACTGTGGGCATTCAGACGATAGTTAATAGATTTTGGTATCTGAACAAAATGTCATGGAAAATATTAACATAGGCAAAGATGAGAAAGGTTCATAAAGAGATGGAATTTAATAGATGATACGGTTCTGATAGAAATGTTTATTGTATACTTTATTGCATAAAATTTTAAGTAAATTCTATCTCTGTATTCAACTCTCAGACTAATGGAAAAGTTACACAAAAATGCATTGTCTTATGCTAAAAAAGTGCATCTGAGAAATGAAGTTGGAAGATTAGGTCACAGCCAAATCTCTGAAGGGCCTCTAAACTGTCCTGAGAAGTCCCTGTGCCCATTGATAGATGCTGCAGTTATACACATAAAAAGTTTTGAACAGAGGGATGACTGTTATGGTAGACAGCATAATGGTACCTAAGATCCCACCTGCTAATGTGTGGAGCATGTGAATGTGTTACCTTATATGACAAAAAGAATTCTGCAGATGTAATTAAGGATCTTGAGATGGGAAGAGTATCCTGGATTGTCCTAGTAGGCCCAATGTAACAGTAAGAGTCCTTATAAGAGGGAGGCAAGAGGATCAAAGACAGAGAGATTTGAAGATGCTATTATGCTGGCTTTGAAGATGTAAGAAGGAGCCATGAACCAAAGAATGTAAGCAGCTTCTAGAAGCTGAAAAAGGCAAGAAAACAGATTCTCCCCTGGAGTATCCAGAATAAACACAGCCCTACTGTCACCTTGATTTTAAGACCTGTGACCTCCAGAAATAGATGTTTTTTTTTAAGCCACTAATTTATGACAATTTGTTACAGCAGCAATAGGTAGCTAATATAACCATGAGCTGACTTGTGTTTAAGATGACTTTGGTGACAATGTGGATAGTAGGCTGAAAAAATAAGAAATTGGAGGCCAGGGCCTGTTTAGAATCTACTGTAATCATTTAAACTCAAGACGATGAGTTCCCAAACTAGCAATAGCAGTGGAAAGTGAAGATGAACACCTGTGACTGTGATGGAAGCTCAGAGGGACTTGGCATCTAACTGGCTATGGAGGTAGTGCAGGAGAGGCAGGAGGCAAAAATGACTTGGAGGTTTCTATTCTCGATGACTTGGAGGAGGAGGATGGTCCAAGGGACAGGGAGCAGCACAGAGAGAAGCTAAGATATCATTTTTGAGTATTCCTGAGTTTGAATTGCTGGTAGGATATTAGTGTATAAAATGTCCCAGGACAGGTTAGAAGACTTACATCCCAATTTTGAGGAGCCCACATGAGAGATATAGATCTTTTTAGTCTGCAGTAGAGTCTGTGGTTGAATTTAGTAGGAGTGGTTGGACGGCCTAGGGAGACATGTGAGAAAAAAACATCCAATGGCAGACTTTAGGGGAAATGCAAATTTTAAGGGGAGAGGAGACAAAGAAAAATCAGAAAATAAAATTAATATGATGATCTGGGAAGTTGGAAATGGAAAAAAAGTAGGAAAGAAACACAACTACATATTATAAGTATGGGGCATTACATGGCATGTTGCTGTTTAATAATCCTAATTCTTAAAAGAATAATTTCAAAAACAAGATGAACCTTAATACTCAAACCTTTTTATCATTAAATAATTTTTCCATAAATTAATCTTTGACATGTATAGAAAGTAGATTCTCTCAAATTTCTGTTACCTTAAGACGAAATTTTATGCTGACTTTAAACCTCGTGTTTATCAATTTCAAATGTCATTTCTCTGCCAGTTCCTTTTCACATGACCTCTCAATTCCTACATGTTAAATACTTGAGGTTAGTGTTTGGTAACCTGGTTCGCATTCAATGCCTCATTTTTCTTCCTCTTTTCATTTCTGCCAGTTCACCCCGGGTGAAATTGAAGCCTCTCTCATAACCCTGAGATTGCTCAAACTGATTTTAGTGTGTAACATAAAGAGTTTTGCCTGAACAAGCCGGAACAGGGAGGTGCTCAGGTGTCATTTGAGGGAAGAGAGATTAAAGAAAAAGAAGGAAAAAAATCTGGGAAGTGGTTATGGTGGTTCGTGTCTCTGTTGAGATGTGAGCTTTGAGGCATGTTATGTGACATGAGTTCACACAAATCCTCTGCTCACTTTTGTATTTTGGAAAATCCTTGTGTCTGACATCACCCAAAGAGAAAGAAGTGCCTTTCCAGATTGACACGAAGCTGGAAAATGGTAGCTGAAGAACATCCTGTACAGTTTGTTTCCCTTCAGGATCTGATAAAAGAGCTGTTGAAACCAAGTGTTTATCAGATTCCAGAAAATTCTTGTGATCAAGCAAGACATCAGGCCTAAAAGAATGCTAAACACTGACTCTTTGAAAAAGTCTTGATTCCATTTTCCATGAGAATTTCAGCTGATCTGCTTCAGCTTGAATAAGTCTTTTATACTCTGGAGCCTGATTTTCCTTAAGAATAGTACTCACTGTTAAATTTTATATGTATGTATTTTTAATTTATTTGAATTCTTTACACAGGTTTCCGTTCAGCATAATGATTCTAGAATGTTTCTCCACCTGAGAAAAGGCCTTGGAGAGACACTGATCCAAAGGGAATGAACTTAAGCCATTTCACATTTTTCTCCCATCCCTACTGAAGAAAGCAAATTCACTGCCTTTTATTTTGTAACCTTTGAATTCCCCCCTTTTCACATCCCCCAAACCCCACCAGCTTCTTGAAGTAACCACCTCTACAAACCTCGTTTCTTTTGCTGTTCTGCTGCATTTTGGTTCATCCACTCCCAGAAATAACACTCTTATTCTATTCATAAATTCCACATGTGCTACCATCCACAGGTTCTCTTAACGCTCTTCTACAACCATCTTGGTGAATCTAACTATCAATTTTAGCAAAATTCCTTTACAGAGGTTTGAGTGTTTTTTGTTTGTTTAATTTTGTTTTTTTTCCCCGCATGGTGTTCTTCCTCTGCCTAGCTCTCCCTCTGCTAACAATGTTGACAGGAGTGTGACCTAACAGTAAGAATTGTGGATACAGATCTATCCCAAATTGGTTAATTTTGGAGCAAGCAGGAGGTTACAGGCTAACGTGTTGAGTAACACAGGAAACACATTAAGAGTTGAATAATAGTATTTGGGAGATTTCCTTTCTACAATTTAAAAATCAAATATGAGAGTAGGGAAAACTCCCCGGGTACCATTGAAAGTTAAAAAATGTATTTCATTAAGAAATAACTAGTTTATTAGCATCATTGATTATTGAAAGCAGACCATTTGATTTTTCTGAGAATATTATTTCCTCACTTTATGCCTCACGAGAAGGTGTAAACATAGGATTTTAAAAACCTTTTTAAGAAGTGCTATCTTTGCTGAATCAGAGGAAATTCTTAAGAAATTAAAACTTCTCACGAAGAAATTTGATTCTTAAATTAACTATGCCACAAATTTTTAAATATAAATAGAGAATACTTAATCTTTGACAAAGTTTGAATAGAGTGAATAAACTATAGCTATTCACTTCCATGATGCCACCTTTTAATAACTAAGATCAAACTCTGCCTTTTGGGTTGCAATTTGTATGAAATACAAAGAAAATTAGATCGTTGACTTTTGTAACACAAACCAGCACCTCCATCCTACCCCATAAGAAAAGAGCTTACCGCTTTGGCAAAAAGTAGGCGACTGAAGCATTACTGCAGCAGCTGCAAAGATGACCGCTTTCATCCTGAGTCCTGTTTCCCAAACGGTTTCAAATGTGTAAAATTAGGGAGCACGGTTTCACCTCAGTTTTGTGTGTTAGCAGCCAGTGGAAGCAGGACTGTCCTCTCCTGTGCTCTGCCGGCAGGAAACTTGCCCGGGTCCTCTTCAGGGAAAGGGTGTGACAGCACTCGTGTTTCAGTGTGCATGACTCAGGCTGAGCCTCCGAGTACATTACATTATCCCCAGCAAAAGTCATTTAACTCTTACCCACCTCTAAGAATCGATTCTGAATGGATGCTGTAAATCCCTCCCGATATACTTATGTACGTTGAAAGAATGTAGATAGTGTTCGGTCCTTTGCAGAAATAAGCTGAAAATAGATGCTGAGCAGCAGTTAGTTTTGACTCTGTCCCATTTCACCCATTTTAAAAATGGGGTTCCAGAGTGTGAATTCTACTTAATAATTAGCTATCAGAAATTATTCCCTTTATCCTCCCAGCTATTTCAAATCTTAATTCTTAAACTCATTACATAATTACAAATTAAATGATGGAAAGCAAACATTTTTTTATGATGTTAAAAATTTTTAAGCACTTAATTACTTTGAAAATTCTTCATCAATGTCACATTAATCTGAATTTGTTATCAGTGCTTGGCCAGAACTTCTCAGTTTTATAATATTTTGTTTTACCATAGCTCAATATACTCTGAGCCATTCAATGGATAATAACCTGTGCGGAGGGTGGGGAAACAACACTATTTAAACTAAAATTATAATACAGCATCGAAATGTAGAGGACTCCCTTTTTACCATGAATATTGGTGAGAAGGTCTACAATAAACTTTTTTTTAATTGGTAAAATATATATAACATAAAATTTATCATCTTAACCACTATTGTTAACGCGTTAACACAATTCAGTAATGTTAAGTACATTCACATTGTTGTGTAACATAAGATTTATGAGTACTTATATTCTGGAGGGTATGATTTAGTATGGAGGAGAAAATACTATATAACAGATTTTCCTATAATTAACAGAACAAGGTTAAATGCTAACCCAACAATAGCCTGTTTCCTAAAACATACAGCAAGAATCAAAAATTGCAAATTTCACATGAGACTTAAAGGTTTGAGAGATAAGCTAGGAAAAAAAATTGATATAAGTAAACTTTTCACATCTTGATTAAATTTTACCACACCAAGTTTTACAAAGTCAGTCTTTAATACTTTAACTATGTAACATATGGTAACACAAATGAAAATGCTATTTTATAATAGAAATAATAACCAAAAACCCACAAAATATTGAAGAGAGGGTACCTTTTTGTTTAATTAAAATTTTATAGGAGTCATCTAAATTCAAGAATTTATAACTTGATTTGCATATGGCCTTGTTTCTGTTCACTTAATCTGTTTGCAACTCATGTGTTGAACCTGGCTGTTTAGCTGGAAGTAGAGCCTCCAGCTAAATATAATGTTTCCAGTCTTTCACTGAGCAATTGAAAAGGAGACACTACATGGTAGGATTTGGTTTTGACTCTTGGTTTTGCGTTTAACCCTAGCAACCTTTTTAGTTCAATGAGTCAAGATTCAAACTCCTGACTTGAATTTATTTGATTTACAAAGTCTCTCTTCGATTTGGCATATAAAACTAATACTGTCAGCTTGGAAATGAGATTTAACTTCTTTGTCATCTGGGTGAAAGTTTATATGGTGCATCTTCTACAGCGATAAGTTATAAAGGAATTTAGTAAATACCCTTAAAAAACTGAGATATATATACATCGATGAACTTGTATGGAGCTTAGTTTTTAGGCTAGGAGTGTTAGGATTCTCTTTGGCCTTGAAAACAGGAAAGAGTAGTTTCTGCTTTCCTATGTCTTTATTTCTCCTTAGTCTTCAACTTCCCACCTTACCTGATGTTTGAACTTTCCTCATCATTCTTCCAAGAAATGGAAAATCTTACTGACAGCTGACAGTTCCCAAATGGTAAATCTAGCTAGAGTAATTATGGAAGCAGGAGCCAAGCCTTCCACAGTGGTCTCTGTTAGCTCACCTATTGCAGGATGAAATAATAGATTTTGTCTCATTTTCAGAGCCCTTTCCACATACATTATTTTATGTTAGTGACTGAGGAAAATAGGGTTGAAAGTGCTAGAGGAGCTGGTAGAATGCAATTTTTCCTTCCTGCTTCCCATCCATCTTGAGTCCTAGATGATGAAACTGGTTCTCTATGGCTCCAGAAAGCTACCTTCTGTATATCACTCTCTTGCTTTAGGATTTAGTAGGCAAAGCTTCTCATTTTTTAAAACTGGAATGTTTTGTCTTCCCTGAAAATATTCAATTTTGACTGATATAAAACTTGTTATCTTGGACAAGTTTATATAAAATGCAGTTGCTGTCTGGAAGTCCTACTTAATTACAATATATGCCAGCACTGCATTTGTAGCGAGATCATCAGACTTACCCAAAAGTAAAAAAACTCTAAAGATAACTCAATACCTTTTCATTGCTGCTATGACTAAGTTTCTCCCCATACAGCTCAACACTCTTACTTATTATAAGTTAATCCCTTCTTTTGCTATTGTAGACTGTGTATCTGCAGCTAATAGTGCCCAAATCATATTAATTATTTTTTGATACATCTGTCTCTTCTATTAAACTGTTAGCTTTTTGAAGGCAATCACTATGTTTGGGTTTTTTTGTTTGTTTTTATTTTCATCTCTGTATCTGATAAATGTTGAGTGTCATTGTGTTTCTCTCAAATTTAAAGTATCTCATGGCATTCTGGGCCACCTTCGGAACCACAGTGACTGAGTGATTGAGGGAGAGAGTATTCGATGAGAGTAGCCAGAAAAGTCTTTTTTGAAGGAGGTGGCATTTGAATTAAGCCCTGCATGGTAAGAGAAAAACAACAGCCACATAACTGGGGTAGAATGTTGCGATCTGAAGGAGGCTGGTGTGAAAGTCTGGAACAGGGAGTAGAGAGATGTGAGGTGCACCAGAGAGGTCAGCAAAGCCAGGTCATTAGATACCCACCATCCAGAGGAAGGGAATTTCGTTTCCTCCCAATTGCAGAAGGAAACTTCTAGAGGAGTTTAAGCCGTGGGGTGGCTTAATGCGATGTCCATTTTGAAGAGATCGTCTGGTTCTCTGTAGAGGACCACTGTGGCAGAGGGCAAACGTGGAAGCAGCAAAAACAAATAGGAGAGATGATGGTGGGCTGGACTAAAGGAGTGGCAGTGGAAAAGGGAGAAGTGGTTGGTTGGGGGTCTATTTCATTAATAACTTGTACAATACATGGCAGTGCTTGGTAGTTGCTAAATAAGAACTTGTGGAAATTATAATAAAATGGCTCCTAAGAAGCATTAATTCTGTTTCATCATCATTCACTGTTCTTTCTTTTATTCTATGATAATATTCCCAGGACCCTGCCAGTGCGTCTAAAATTCTTTGGCTGGATGAGATACAACATGCAGTCTATGAGGCCAACATGGACAAGGACAGAGCAAAACAATGTAAGCCCTCGCCTACTTTTGCTGGCCCAACTTGCCTTACTTGTATCTGGTTATGCTTCTGAATTTTTATTTTAATTCACAATTATCAAAAATCATATATTTCTTAATTTCTGAACAGATTTGGACTCTTACCAATTTGAGTTCTTGAATGCATATTTATACAATAGGATTCATTGGTTGCACTGTTTTCAATGATTAGCACTATCTCCAGCAAAATATGAAAATATTGCTAAACAAAATTCAAGAAGCAAAAACTGGTTTCTAAATTAAAATTTATAGCTTAATCAAAGTCATCCTTTTTTATCTTAATCCTTAGAAAACTAGCCCATTTCCGAAAAGTAAATACTCATCCTCCCCCTTTCATGCCTTTCGTTGTTTTAGTCAGGGTTTTCCAGAGAAACAACTGCATGTATATTTTTTTCCTGGAAAAAAAACAGAACTAGATAGGTAGATCTGTTTCTCTGGAAAGTATATAGTATAAAAACTATATAATACTATACTATATACACACATGTATGGAAAAAGGGAGATTTTTATTTTAAGGAATTGGCTCATGCAATTGTGGAGAGAATGGCAGATCCAAACACTGTAGGGAGGTGGGTGATTTTTGGTTAATCACCAAAACACTGTGGATGTAATTACTCTAATGGACAGCAGAGTCAAGCAGTAATTAGAATAATCTGATTCACAAAGACCTGTGGAATTGGCTAGTTGAACATGGTGTTACTCGAAGTGAAATAGTCTACTAAATTCTTAGTTTGTACAAGGGGAAGAAGAGATCTAAGTCAAGTGAATAGAAGTATAACTTGAATCATAAAAACAGAAAGTTATGCCCCCTCAATCAATTCCCAGACTTGAGCCAGTTTACAGACCCGGAACCCCTTTAATAAAGGGACACCAGTTCCTCTTGAGAAAGGACTCTGCTACACTACCAAAATTTTATACTTTTCATCTTTCTCCCAGGCTTCCCCCAAAGAGACCTACAGCCTTTTACTATAGTGACTGTGCTGGGGTGGGCGGGGGAAAGGACATTATCAGATTTTCAGGGATTACTGGACCCTGGCTCTGAACTGACACTAATTCAGGACACCCAGAACTTCACTGTAGTCCAGCAGTCAGAGTAGTGGCTTATGGAGGTCATGTGATCAATGGAGTTTCAGCTCAGATCCATCTCACAGTGGACCTAGTGGGTCCTCAAACCCATCCTGGGATTAATTGACATCCTCAGCAACTGGCAGAATCTCCTACATTGGCTCAAATGAGAACAAAATTTTCAAATGAATTTTATTCTAAGCCTCTGTTTTCATAGAGGAATAATAGGAAAGTTCAAATGACAATCTAAAACATCTTCAAGATTGATATACTAACACTCTACGCATATGAATAACCTACATAAATTAAAGTAAGATTCCTAAAAGTATAGTTCATTAACCTGTCTGTCCATGGTATAACTTGAATCTATCCTGTTCATCAGCTTGTAGATTGCCGTTGAGATACCTTAGTCTTGCTGCAGAGATATGCTTTTAAACTTTGGAAGCATCTGTGAGGAACATCTGGCTTTTATTTCCTCAGCCTGGAAAAATATGTGTATTTCTCGAACCTGAACTTTTATACCCTTAGGATCTTTGAAGTCTTTCTGTTCTAGCACACTAATCCTTAAGAAAAATAAAATAAAATTTAGATGTGTACATAAGAGATTTAAATTTAAATATAAAACTGAAGGCAGGTGTAGTTTGAAAAAAGACTTTCAAGAAATTTGATTGTAATATAAGCACTCAGATAGCCTAAACAGGGTGCAATTTTTCTCTTAGAGATCAAACCAATTTAGAGGTTATTTTATCCCTTTTATTCTGTGTTCCTCTTACATTTGGCTTGCAAATGTTAAGTCGATTCTGGTTTTTACATTGAGACTTGTGGTTCCATTTGACTATGAAAGTAAGAGGTTTTCTCAAATGTGAATTTTGTACTCTGCATTTGCACTTCTACCTCTGTCCTGACTCTCGGAAGAGTTCATATAGCTTCTTCTATGCTATGTAAGAACAAAAAGATATTCTGGGGAAAAAAA